CCCGCGGCGGGGCGCCCGGCCGGCGGCAAGCCCAAGACGGGCCACCTGTGCCTGTACTGCGGCAAGCTCTACTCGCGCAAATACGGCCTGAAGATCCACATGCGGACTCACACCGGCTACAAGCCGCTCAAGTGCAAGGTCTGCTTGCGGCCTTTTGGCGACCCCAGCAATCTGAACAAGCACATCCGTCTCCACGCCGAAGGAAACACACCCTACCGGTGTGAGTTCTGCGGAAAGGTCCTAGTGAGGCGCCGAGACTTGGAAAGGCACGTCAAGTCCCGGCATCCGGGCCAGAGCTTGCCCAAGGGCGGCGCCGAGGAGCTCCAGGAGCCAAAGACGGACAACGAGAGCGACGTCGACGTCTGCTTCACGGACGATCAGAGTGATCAGGACATCGGCGGCGGCGACGGCTGCCGGGCCAAAGAGCAGCAATAAAAAGACGCCGAGCCAGTGGGTGTGTGTGTGTGCGCGCCATAGGATGGGGGACGGGTCGGACACGGGGGTGACCAAAGCTGCTAGTCTTCTCGGAATGAACTCTCTCCTTCCGTCCACTCGTTCGGAGGAGCTGCTGGGTACAATACCCAATACAATCGACATACCCTAGAGCTTGGAAGGGGAAACTGTTTACCCAGCTGGTTGAGTTCGGGGGGTATTGTAAGGTCTCCCCTTAAGAAATGTCGGTTGGGCAACTGCTTTTCCCAGTCCCTCCCCACAGGATGGTCTCAGTCAGCCTCAACCAAGAGGGGCAACGGCAGAAGTTTGCAGAGTTGACTCAAACCCTCTGAAGGACAGGAGGCTTTTGGCCCCCGCAGTACAGAGGTTTTGTCTCCAGGATGGAATCACACCATGGAGGACCTACTCACGGTGCCATTCCATCCAATTTTCTGGGTTCCCTGAAGGATTGATCAGTAAGTGGGTTGGGTTTGCAGAACAAGCTAAAATGTGGTTGGTGAGTTTGTGATTCGGTGTTTTGTGCCAATAGCTGTACTTTACCAGCTGATGATAGTGGCAAGAGATGCAGATTGTCTTTGCAAGTAACTTTCACTTAGATTATAGCCTAAATCCCACTGAACACAGCGGTTTGACTTCTGAGTAAGTGTGTGTAAGATTGGCCTGTTGCCATTTTCATCCCTTTAGGTTCCTCTGGTGGAATATGTCCTCTCTTCCTCAGCTGTTTATGATGTCATAATGGACTGGATGGTTCTTAGGCCAGCTTGCAATCATCTTTGTGGCAGTTTAAAACCTGATTTCATTCGTGTCGTATTGGCAGAAGGATGTTTGGGTGCCATTATAAATAACTAGTGAGGAAAGGGATATAGTTTCCACACTAGCCATCATCGTGTTATCTAGCCGGCTCTGTTTTACTGGTTTGAAGAGGGTTTACATTGCTACAGGAATGTCTGTGCTCACCTGTCACTCTACAAAGAAAGTTGTTTGGATTACCACTGTCGTACAATTATGGATAGAGAGTTACTTTTACACTATTTTAGGAGAAGGTGTTTGGCTGAGCTCAAGCATATTTCTATGAAATCTTAAAAGTATCACTTGGAATAGTCCCATTCCAGTAGCACAACACCCAAGCCTGTTATTGACTCCCATGGGATTGCTGCACACTGCACTCCCCACTAATTCCTCAACAATATCTTGTGGCTGCTGGTTCCTGCCCCTGGTTTAAATGATTGCAACTTATCCTATCGTGGCCTCGCTTTCACTGAAATGAACCAGCCTTTAAATAAAGGTCTTCAGAAAAGGTGTTTGTGTGAAAGTGAGTGAATAAACTCAGGGTGGAAATGTCTGCAGCCCAAGTGCTATCTGGCAATTGGGTGTGTCCAGAAGGAGGAGTCTTTTCCTGGGGGAAGAAACAGCTCCAAATGCTTACAGAATATTACTACTGGGAATCTTGGAACAGCCAATCTGTTTGTTTCTATAGTATCTTTAAAATGTGCCTTTTTGTGGGATATTTGGGAGATTGTCTGCAGAAAAGAAGTTAGTTTTTCCCCTCATTTGCTCTGGCCAGCACCAAGGTATGTATCTTGGTGGAAAACCAATTTTTAAAATGTATAATCTGTATTAAATATCAAAAGCATTGGTAGCCACAATGGCCCTTTTCCACCTAAAACACACTTTTGTTTTGCTTATTTAGCTATGTTTACTTAAAAGTAAGTCCTTTTGAGTTTCCTCAGAATGAGCTTTTTGGAAGCACAGTTAAAAAGCCCTCCGTAGGTTGAGGTATGATAGATTTCAACAGTGCTACCTTTTAAGTACAGCTTCAATCTTGTTTACAGACTGAAATGTGTAGGTTTACTCCTGACTGAATATTTTTATGACCACACAGTGGGGGTAGGAGGTAGGATGCCAGCAGCCTGACCGACTCTCCCATTACAACTTATTTATAACAGAATAATATTTGGGTACCATTTGTAAAATAAAAACATGAAAGCATGACTCTTCAAGCATGCTGTATATCATTTTCAAGAATATACTTTTTTTGAATTTCGTAGACTACATATGTGGTGTATGCTTTATAATGAATGGTGTACAGTGGAAAGTATTTTGGTCTCAGTTACAGGTTGTCATTTTTTAAGACAATAAAGTTATTGACAAACTATTGTTTGATTAACTTTTTTTTTTTTAAAGATTTTCAGTCTTTTTTCTTTGTAAAAAAAAAAGCCATTTGAAACTCTTCAGTACAATGCAGCATCAACAGAAGTTTCATTAAACAAATGCATTTGATTCACATTGACTGGCACTTTTATCCTGATCACTTCTTTCAAATGAAGGAAACACAATGGCTGTGTTCACATTACACCCTAACTAGGTCAAATAACAATCTAGCAACTTCATTTGCAAAATACACTAAGTTTGCTTATTGTTAACCTTGCTTAGTTTATTTCTGGCTTATCTACTATGCCAACCATCCCAATCTGGTTAGTTTATGGTTGAATATATTGTGCTAACTCAGAAAGTGGATTAATTCATTAGACAAATTAAGTGAGTTGTTTGAGGAGGCCAATAATAATGTTTCAGAATTGGAATGGAAATATTGTAGGGTGATCAAGACTGCTTGGTTGAAGCTTCTAAAGTTCAAATCCCAGCTGACTAGGGTCATAACAAAATTACACTGAAGAAATGTCACTGATGTCAATGGGAGGTATGGGGAGGCTAAAAGTACTGAATTGGAGCCAAAGATTGAATCCTTAGACTCTTTGCTTGCAGCTTCCAGTTCTGAGCAAGTGCCAAGGAATTCAAGGATTTTGATACAGATCTTGCATTCTTTTTAGGCAGGTTCTTCTCATAAACGTGTAACGTTATCCTCTTCAGAAATCATGTAAGATTTTTTTCAGATGTAGCTGACACAATGGACAGCAGTCAGCAAAAGCTCATGATATCAACAGTGAGAAAATTCATTTGGATATATTTAGATCCCAGACTTAATGATTTAAGCCTCTCTCCTTTTTGAGGATTGTGGTGATTGCTTAATCACTTTTAGGTCTTCTCTCTGATTCCCTCCACTCTCAGATCTAAGTTATTGACAGGTTAACAATAAGCAGGCAAAGTTGTTGTCAACAGACTCTGGGAATTTCCAGTTTTTCATTTTAAATTAGTTTAAATGGTAACACTGGAGTTTGGCACATGGGACAGGTTTAGCTACCCTCCTGAAACAATAACTGATAAGTCATTCCCCCTGGAATTAAAGTCATTAGAAAATAAGAGATTCAAATCTTAACACTAGGAAGGTCATGTAAGGGGCAAAAAGTATTTCAACAACTCATTTTTGTGGGGAGGGCTTTTCTGAACAAAGTATTTGATTTTTGACTATAGTTGCCAGACTGCAAAATATATGCACTGAAATGGGGGTCAAATTTTATGTTCTGGTGTGAAAACGCATTGATCAAAGGAAAGTGGTTCATGGCATGAGCAGTGAGTTTTAAGCTTTTGGTAAAATGAGAAAGGGCTCTTTTCTTTTTCAACCTCATTCATAGCTCTTCAGAGTCACAAATGCCAACACCACCACCACCACCACCTCTTCTTCCACCTCTTCTTCTTCTTCTTCTTCTTCTTCTTCTTCTTCTTCTTCTTCTTCTTCTTCTTCTTCTTCTTCTTCTTCTTCT